GCTAGGGTTTCAGTCAAAACCCTAATTGGGTGACTTAGGCCCTAAGCAGCTTGAGAACCTTCTGGAATAAGGCCTCCCTAGACGAAATGAGAGTGGGCTTCCACTCCTAATTTCGTCCCCCTTATGTCCATGAGAGTTCACAGCCCAAAACCAACTATCACACAATTGACAGTTGCAGTCCCTTTTATTTAATTAATCTCTTTCAGCCACAAAATTAATTCTCAATTAATTATTGACTAATATTAATTAAACTATATGATTTCTCCTCTAATATATTATTCATATAATATATTAATAAACCATAATAACCTCTCTCTCTCTCTCTATAAATCATCCTGTCAAGTTGCTTTGGTGAAGGCAACCCAAAAGGACCATGCACAACCGGGTCAAGTACATACCAAATATAGTTACAGGCTTAGACACTCATCCAACAGTATGTATATGCAATATACATCTCTATGGATAATCAACTAACACATCACATAAGTCTTAATTCACTACTTCCTTCCATGACGAATGACCATTTATGTAAATAACTAGTATTCAGAGAAGTAAATAAACATGCAAATGGAGCACAATAATACATTAATAAATATAAATGCTCCGAACATATATTACGATAACATTATAATTATTCTATCAATTAAAGTGTATATTGTATAAATTTAGAGCTCTCGTTTGACACAAGTATGCTAATAATATTTTAATTTAAATAAGAACACAAATCTTGACCGGAAACATGAATCGTGTGTATCATTTTGGAAGTCAATATCATGTAACTCTTTACAATGAGATATTCCTCACTTACCAATGGTAAAAAACATGCCTTTTGTTAATCTCAAATGCTTCAGAATGTTCATGAATATCATCCAATGAGTCTTGCTAGGATTGGTATGATATAGACTCATCATGCTCAAGGCATACAACACATTAGACCTTATAAATAACATGAAACACATGATCGATCCATAACTTAAGCATATAAGACTTTACTCCTTTTATTGAGCCCCTCATTGAACGATGACTTTGAGCTTTGCTTAGTCCTAAACCATGATGGATAGATGTAAACTCTTTTGGAGCCATGTATCTTGAATCTCTTTAAGATCTTATTTATGTACGTACTTTGACTTAACCCAATGAGATGTCTCACCTTTTTTCTTCTGTTTATTCCTTACACATTATTACAAATGTTAGTACTGCATCCTGTGTTCAATACTTAAGGAGTTAGAAATAAGTTATGAAGTCAGAAATATAACCGAACGGTGAGACCCCTTGGCTTTAAGCTTCATTAGCTCATTCATTTCTTTTTGATAGCTAAGCGTACCATGTCTAGTTTGCTTGTAGTGGAAACAAAATATCTCATTAGGATTCCTAGATCGAGGTATCTCAAAATTAGCCTTACCCTTAGGAGAGTTTGACTTTTCCTATTGCGCTTGCTTCGGGAGTAGCAATGTTGTATGGTTTGGATTTGGCCATGTTAAACTCTATCGTCTTCAACATGCCATGTAATCCCCAGACAGACGTATACATGTTGTTTGTGTTGTAGTTCAAGACAAACTCATCTTATAAACTAGTCAACAAGTTGATGATAAAATCCATGACTAGCTCCCAACTTAGATGAAAGTCTAACCTTCACAACTGGTCAATTTACGCATTTATTTTCAAGACGTAGACATTGACGCTACCTTCCTGCAACGTCTTGCATCCTATTAGCGCTTTCATGATATCAAATTTCCTTTTTCCTAACCTCCCCCTGGAACATGTTGTTAAGCTGCTTGATTATGTCATAAGTAACTAAGATGTTCCAAGCTCTTTTAGAGCCCAGGAATCATGGTGACTAACATGAGACACGCCACATCATTTAAGTCGTTGAGATATTTTTCATACTCGTCTCTAACAACCCTAATACATTTATAAGTAAAGGAGCCCTATGAATAGGTTCCTCAATTGCATGAAGCATCTTCACAAACTTGATCACAACTCTCAAGTTTCAAAACCAATGAACATAGCTCATGATATTGAGCTTATCCTTTTTGAGGAGACCTCACAACGAAAAATTCATAACATACAACATTTATAAAAGTAGATTTTAAATTTTAGTTAGCGATTTAATTATTATCCTTAGAAAATATATACTCAAACACAATTATTTTAACGAGACTAAGATATATATTTCACTTATAGTTATAGTTATGAAAAGGTTTTTCATAATCGCAAAAATGAGTTATTTAGATAGGTAACCATTTTACAAAATCCAATTTCCATGAAATTCTTAGGTACTTACAAGATTCATTGACATTAATTATGTTATCTATCTGACATGTTAATCACTTTCATGCTTATCCTGGGTTGTGACAGGTTTACTATGGATCACAAATCAAGAAGTTAATCAACCACATAGAAACACGTGATATCGGCCCAAGACTCTTGGGCATTGAGAACACCGCATCACCATCCCTAAAGCTTAACCGATTTGTTTGGCTTTGAACTTCCCATGCCGAAAGACTATTAGTTCAAGTGTGTGTTTCAATATGGATAGCGCGGGATTTACATTTTGAAAAAACCATGTTCTTTTCTTAATTAACATTTGAACTTCTGATTTTTTGCATAAAGAATATTTAAACAAATTTTAAACTTTTTATAAAAACAATTTCGTAATTTCCAATTTTAATTTGCAAATGTTGTTTGGTAAATCGTTAAGAAGTGATGTGTTTTAAGTTTTAACTTTAATTTGAAGATTTTCTAGCATGTAAAATATAGACAAATCATAAAAAAAAACCACACAAATTACTGCAACAATTGCCTCACTTATGTGTTGTTCTGACGACCAAACACGTGGATAAATATGATCATTCTAGGTAGAAAACAACCATAAAGTGGTCTGTCGACTTCCATTAAAACCACCATCATCGATGTGATACTCGGATTGATGCCCGCTAAGATCTCAATCGCCATGAGTTCGGATGGTTGTCTTTTGTCTTCAAAACTACACTTTATTTACTACTACAATTTCTATTGCTTCTATTCTTATCACATATAAAAGTTACATTACATGAAAAGTATTTAAACAACGTCACAAAAAATAATTATAAAACCCAAATGACTACCAAAAACACCACAATCATAGGTCTAATAGAGACACTATGTTACTAGATCCATATAAAAGAAAATAACAACACTTTTGACATTTGTGATAAATCAGATTCCCCGACTGTTATCTAAAAGTTAGGGGTGTTTGCGGTGAGGTTTGGTGTGTTTAGATTCAAAACCATGTGGTTTGATATTTTTGGAAATCACAAACCGCATTACGGAAGCTCTAAACTACATTATGTGGTGCAACGTGGTTTGGTGAGGTGCGGACGGTTTTGGTGTGGTTCATAAACATACAAGATCTTTCAAATACAAATGTCATGAAGTTATTTTCAACTTTAAATATATAATTGTATTTACTGTAAATGTTTTTTCACTATAAAATATCTTTTCTTTCTTCTTTTCTTTTGTCAAACAAATTATCTCTACCACCACTTTACCACCATCGACAGACTCCTACCACCGGTGCATGTGCGACCTTCTACCACCACGTGCTGGGTGGTTGTGGGTTGTTTTGTTGTGATCATACAAGTTTTATTGATAAAGACATAATAAAACATTTGTTTTATTTATACTCTAAATGGCATCATACTTTCTTGTGTGGTGGTTTGACTACAGTTGACCACCACAACACTATCATCAGATCACCAGTAGGTGGGTGGTGCTGTGGAGGACCTATTTCTATCCTTGATTCATAGATAAGAGCTTAGGGTGAAGATGCTAAGGTGTTGTTTGTTTTTCTTAAAAAAACTCTTGAAACCACTTTTGGTTGCGCCGCGTAGAGCATGCGTATCAGTTAGGTTTTCGCATCCGTTTGTTTTTTAAGAAGACTTCTTACTAAAAAAGCTCTGCCCGTGTGCTTCCTGATGCAACATTGGCCGAACCACTTCTAAA